ACTTATTATTTTTTTAACACTTTTTTTGCTAAATATTTCCACAGACCCCTTGCGGACCTCTTTTTAAATAATAATAATAATAACAACAATATTTTAAAAAAATAATTTCAAAATAAAACACTCATCACGAAATATGAAGTAGTGTATTTGTTTACCTGCATGTCACGTGACCATAAACCCACATCAAAGAACCGTAAACGAGCAAAAGAGTATATAAAATAGTTTGGGAATTCCAGATAGCGAATACTTATTAGAAGTAATAATTAATCTGGATAATTATTATTACTAGCAATATGTTTATTATGTACACTATACCAAAGACTATATTTAAAGGAACTTTGACTATACTCACATAGCCAGTGCTGGGGAAAGTTACTTTTAAAAGTAATGCATTACAATATTGCGTTACTCCATAAAAAAGTAACTCATTACGTTACTTAGTTACTTTTTATGGAAAGTAATGCGTTATGTTACTTTTAAAATCTGGACAGGGCTTTCTTGTTTATTTTTAAAATATATATATTTTTTTTGGCAAATATAAAAGCCTTTTCACACCAAAAGTGAAATGAATGCGCCTCAGGCTGAAGGGAAAGTACATTTACGTCCGTACAGTAGAATGCAGAAGAAGAGTAATTTTTGCTTATTAGTACGGTTGAACTGGATCATCGAAGGTCAGAAGCAAATAGATGTGTTGTTTAACATTTAATAAGAAGATAAATGTGTTGTTTAACATTTAATTATTGCAGGTTTGCGTCATATTCTGAGTTGCATTATTTGTATTCATTTTAAGGAATACTGAATCCGAGTTTTTTTTTGTGAGTGAGATGAATTAATGCATATTTATTTTAGAACTACAGTAACATCTTCTGATTTCTCTCAACATGGGGACAGGAGAGCTGTCAATCAATAAATTGGGAAGAAAAAAAAGTAACTCAGATATTCTCTTGTAAACTAAAAAGTAATGCGTTACTTTACTAGTTACTTGAAAAAAAGTAATCTGATTACGTAACTCGCGTTACTTGTAATGCGTTACCCCCAACACCGCACATAGCATTGCGAGGTCATAAGCCAGAATCTTCGCTAGGCTACTTAGCAACTAGCTTCAGCCTGTCACGCACATATTCCCCCAAAAGCTTTTCCTACGACTATAAGTCTTGCAGTAATTACAACCACAAGAACAGCTAAAATCCCCTCAGACTGTCACTGAACGAGGTGTTTAGGGTGAATGAAGAGCAGACAGGAGGCGTGTGAATGCGGCGGGCTAAAGCTAAAGCTAAAGTCAGTGCGCCGCTCATCATCTGACAGCTCTGCCATCACAACACAACACTTACAACAGCACAGAATCAATGCACTCTTTCATATCAACTCTGCTGGACGCAAAGCTTTAAAGACGCCATATTTCAGGGTTCACCCAAGCCAGTCATATAATATTAACGTTAGCTCACCTCTAGGGAAATCAACAACGATGGTTTAAATACGAATCGATTATCGCTTCTGATCTGCTGATGAAGATACCGGCGGTTTAAAGATGTCTTTCGGCTTGTCAGCTACATGTCTGGACAGCTGGTTTTCAAACGCCTGGCGTCGGACACTTTAACTTCAGTGTGGTGCTACATGGTATGACACATTCAAACAGCTTCTTCCGGTTGTTGAGGGGTGCTGAGAGTGAACTAGTGAATGGGGAAGCACAATAGCAGGCAGCGGCGGTGCCTCCTAGTGTGGATGCGCGGAACGACTCACAGACGCGCATTGATCTCAATACGAGACAGAGCGGGATCTATCCCAGCCCAGACGCCCCCGTGTGGCCATAGAGTCAATTACATTACGTTAGGAGATGAGCAGTTAGGACTTGGTTTAGGATTTTTTTTTTCTTCTTGATGGTAAAATTATTTAATTGATGTAAAATACAGTTTAGAAGGTTTAATTTATTTATATAGCGCATATAACAACATGAGGGCTAAACAAAGTGCTGCATACCAGGTATAACAGGAAATAAAAATACAGTAAAAATATACAGTGGTGTGCAAAAGTGTTGGCCCCCTTCCTGATTTCTTATTTTTTTGCATGTTTGTCACACTTTAATGTTTCAGATCATCAAACAAATTTAAATATTAGTCAAAGATAACACAAGTGAACACAACATGCAGCTTTTAAATTAAGGTTTTTATTATTAAGGGAAAACACGATCCAAAACTACATGGCCCTGTGTGAAGAAGTGTTTGCCCCCCTGTTAAAACTGTGGTTTATCACACCTGAGTTCAATTTCTCTAGCCACACCCAGGCCTGATTACTGCCACACCTGTTCGCAATCAAGAAATCTCTTGGAGACGCAGAGTGACAACTGATATTTATAGCCCATGGATTTGATTTAAGTAGTCTACTATACTATAAGTTATTCACTATTGGTGTAAAAAAGAATACACATTACCTACCTTTTGTTTATAATAGTCTAGATTCATATATTCAAGTCATATAATTATTTAAAGAATGAAACTATTTTCCTTGAACTGCTTACATTTACTTAAATATTTAAATTCAAAACATTTGAATTATAACACTTATATTATCATCACTATATTCTTATAATTATATTATTATTACATTATTATATTACTATATATAAGTATGACACATGTATTGTAATGTAATTTTACATATTATAATGTATTTGACCTTAATAGAAGCTTTGAAACATATATACATGAACCCAGATAATCTGCATTTTGAATGTTGAAATAAAAATAGCAAAAACTCTTAATAAACCTTTCGTTCATTCTACTAAATAATAACACATTGCAATAGGCTATGGAAAAACTTATAGCATCTGTAAAATTCAAACTTGATGCCTTTCTTTTCTTTTTTTCAATAGAATATTTTGATTGTATCTTTATTAATTTGTTTTCGCTATTAGTTGTTTTGTTATTGTTTTTGTTTTTTTGTTATTAGTGTGTTTGTAACCTTTTTATGTTGTTCTGTGTTCTGTAATAATAAAGAAACAAAAAATAGCACTTTCTTTGCTGCTTTAATGAAATAAACTCTTCTTTATTGCAATAATTTAGACATTGCCAACCGAGTATTAAAGGGGTTATATGATGCGATTTAAATTTTTCCTTTCTCTTTGGAGTGTTACAAGCTCTTGGTGCATAAAGAAGATCTGTAAAGTTGCAAAGACTAAAGTCTCAAATCCAAAGAGATATTCTTTCTAAAAGTTAAGAGTCATCCACGCCTACCTAAAACGGCTCGTTCTAACACGCCCCCACATATCTACATCACTATGTGGGAAGATTTGCATAACGCCGCCCAAATGTTCACGTAAAGTAAGAAGGTGTAACTTTTATTCTCTCTGAAGTATTGTTGTTGCCGCCACCATGTCATGAAGGCGCTGTGTGTTTCGTTGTGCAAGTGAAACTACTTTGTTTGGTCTTCCAAAAGAGGATGATATCCGCTTCGTCATGCCTAGAGCTGATCTGTGCTGGTTGCTGAGGGAATACTGTATGTCATGTATGTATGATGTATGTCTTGTAACTTTGCGCTGTGGATCGCCGGATCGGCTTTCACCGTGGACGAAGCGGAGTCCAGCCCGGGGTCGTCACATGTGGTT